ATTGGTGTTTGTCTGTCTTACCTCTAAAAAATTAAAAAGAAAAAGAACAAATATCACCTTAATGCATGCTTTAAAAATATGATAGTTGAATCTTTATCAATAAAAATTTATTGAAATGATGTAATTTTAAGATGATTTTTCTCTTAATTTTTAAGAGATAAAAGGTATAGGTATGCATTTTACGTGCCGTGACCTAGTAGCCACTTGTTGCCCAAAAGAGTAACCCTTGGTTTGCACTCTCAAGTCTCAGGTTCAATAACCCCCACTAACACTTCTAACATACTAACCTCTAAAAATTGCCTTTATAAAAAAAAAAAAAAGTATAGGTACTATTTTCAATAAATAAATACATTATAATTATAATATTTTAAAAATAGAAAAGAGCAGAAGGCCCAAATAAATAGAGCTTCTCCCTCCGCCCTCCAAGTCCGCTTTGTTGAATAAAAATAGGAAAAATCATATATGTAAAACAAGCCCCAAAAACATTTTATTGAGTGGAATTAAATATATTAATTAATTTTCTTTATTGCCGAGTAATAAATTAATTAAAAATAAAAATGTGAGACGTTTATACTTAAAGAAAAAATTGGGACAAATATGTTTTTACAGGGATGATAATGAACAAAAGTGGACGGACCAACATTGGCTTTAAACCATAAGAAAATTGTCATTTTATCAAAATTCATGCATTTAGACCTGCCCAATTTTTAAAAGCAATAAGTGCTTCCATTTTCCTGAAGTTCCTTTTCCTTAACTTTGCCACTTTGAGCTTCTTATGGTTTTCCATGAATGCTTGCTTGTACCTCCACTTGTCCACAAAAATCTTCATCTCTTGAGATTTCTCCACAACTTGCATGACTGCATCGAAGAAACCCCCTTTAACCAAAGCATATAAGAATGCATCCACCAAGTTATGATCCAATTTTATGCCTTTCTCACCATCAACGGTAATCTTGCGCTTCACCTCATTCCACAGCATGAGAACACTGAAGTATTTCTCTGCAGTCACATACCCATTAATCATGGACAAATATGTTTGAGCATTTGGCGTAAACTGCAGGAACACCATCCTTCTGAAAGTCCTCCTTGCATCTTCTAATCGACCAGCTTTACAAAAAGCATGAATGATTGAATTCCAGTCATGTGTTTTCACTTCAATTCTAGGGTCTTCTACAACTTCATCTAAAAATGCAGCCATTAACTCTGGCCTATGGTTCTCCATCAAACCTGTCATTATAGTTAGGTAACTTCCTTTCAGATCTGGTAGTCTTGCATCTCTCATGTCCCTAAACAATGTAAAAGCTGACTGAAAATCTTGGCAAGTCATGGCTGCTTCTATGAGTGAATCATAGCTCTCCGCATCCAACTGAAGCCCCGAATTACTGATATCCATGACTAACTGAGTAGCTTCAGCTGTTCTCTGCTCTTTGCTGTATGCCTTTAAGATTGGCACATAAACTCCAAGCCCCACAGAACTTCCCTGTGCATTCATTTCATCAAGAATACTATGGGCCTTGTCTGATAAGCCAAGGTCAACACAGGCACTAACAATCCTATATCCCAGTGACCTATCAGCAGCTGTTGTAGAAGACTCCAACTTTTGGGCTTCGATAATCAAACTAGCTAAACTCTTGATACCTCCATTTTGAAGAAATTCTTTAACCATTTCACAGTAGGTTTCATCACCAAAATCCAAATCTTTTCCACCATATTCCTTCAAATTAGACAGAATGCTTGATGAAACTGAATCTAATTTGCCAGACTTAACATACCCACTAATCAAACTACTATAGAAGACCTTTTTACTAGAAAAACCAAAACCATCCATTAATTTTTCAAGCTCAATTATCTTGTCATCAAGCCCTTTCAATGCATACAAATAAGCAAGAAAACCAAAACTCAACTCATCAGGCCGAATGCCCAAAACGGACATTGTTTCCACAACTTTTTCAGCATCAGACACAGATTGAAGATTGCAGCAGGAACCCTCCAAGGCAGCATTACATGCAGCCAAGTCAGGTTTCAAAAAATTTAGCTTCTCCTCATTAGCAATCCTACAATTCTCCTCAAAAACCCGTAAAAACGAAACAAAGCTACCATTTTTCCTACTAATATCAATAAGCAAATTGCCCCAAAAAGCAAAAGGCATGAAATACCTGTTCTTGAACATGCACTTGACCAGAGCAAAAGCAGGGGCAGCAGTGTTGGCACATTTCATGGAATTCAAGAGGGTACGCACAGTTTCAAAATCTAGCAACTTTGGGCTCTTCTCTATGACATAAACAGCAGAAGCAAATGCCCTCTTGAGATTGTGGACATCATTGGAGGAGGATAAGTGGGTAATTAGTGAGTTAGTGATCGATTTACTAGGGAAAGCAGAGCTGGTTGTGAGTGACTTGAAGGACTTCCATGCCTCATCAGTATTTTGGGTGAGGAGGGATTTGTGGAGGGTGGATTCCAGGGTGGATATTTGCTCATGGGTGAGGGATTCAGTTTGAGGGTTGGTGGGGTTCTGTGATTGTGGAGGCAACGGTTGTGAGGTTTTGAGGGAAAAGAGTGAGGGTTGGAGAAAGGAGTAAAGCGATGGGACTTCAGGTGTGGAGGAGAAGAGTCTTTGTTGGGGTAAGGAGAGTGCCTTTTTCCACATCCTGCGAGAGTCTAAGACCCCAAAGTGAAGACCATATTGAGCCTAGAGCAAAAACTCAAACGCTTTAGATTGGAAAACCTAAAGCAGAAAACTTGGATCTAATAACCCTCTTGCTAATCAA